ACATGAAGAACCAGTGGCATCTACATCTACATAACGTGAAGAACTAGTGGCATCTACATCTGCAGAACGTGAAGAACCAGTGGCATCTACATCTGCAGAACGTGAAGAACCAGTGGCATCTACGTCTGCAGAAGATGAAGAACCAGTGGCATCTACATCTGCAGAACATGAAGAACCAGTGGCATCTACATCTGCAGAACGTGAAGAACCAGTGGCAACTACATCTACAGACCGTAAAGAACTAGTGGCATCTACATCTGCAGAACGTGAGTAACCAGTGGCATCTACATATGCAGAACGTGAAGAACCAAAGGCATCTACATCTGCAGAACGTGCAGAACCAGTGGCATTTACATCTGCAGAACATGAAGAACCAGTGTCATCTACATCTGCAGAACGTGAAGAACCAGTGGCATCTGCATCTGCAGAACGTGAAGAACCAGTAGCATCTACATATGCAGAACATGAAGAACCAGTGGCATCTACATATGCAAAACGTGAAGAACCAGTGGCATCTACATCTGCAGAACATGAAGAACCAGTGGCATGTACATCTGCAGAACATGAAGAACCAGTGGCATCTGCATCTGCAGAACATGAAGAACCAGTGGCATCTACATCTGCAGAACATGAAGAACCAGTGGCATCTACATATGCAGAACATGAAGAACCAGTGGCATCTGCATCTGCAGAACGTGAAGAACCAGTAGCATCTACATATGCAGAACACGAAGAACCAGTGGCATCTACATATGCAGAACGCGAAGAACCAGTGGCATCTGCATCTGCAGAACATGAAGAACCAGTGGCATGTACATCTGCAGAACATGAAGAACCAGTGGCATCTACATCTGCAGAACATGAAAAACCAGTGGCATCTACATCTATAGAACGTGAAGAACTAGTAGCATCTACATCTGCAGAACATGAAGAACCAGTGGCATCTACATCTACATAACGTGAAGAACTAGTGGCATCTATATCTGCAGAACGTGAAGAACCAGTGGCATCTACATCTGCAGAACGTGAAGAACCAGTGGCATCTACGTCTGCAGAAGATGAAGAACCAGTGGCATCTACATCTGCAGAACATGAAGAACCAGTGGCATCTACATCTGCAGAACGTGCAGAACCAGTGGCATTTACATCTGCAGAACATGAAGAACCAGTGTCATCTACATCTGCAGAACGTGAAGAACCAGTGGCATCTGCATCTGCAGAACGTGAAGAAACAGTAGCATCTACATATGCAGAACATGAAGAACCAGTGGCATCTACATATGCAGAACGTGAAGAACCAGTGGCATCTACATCTGCAGAACATGAAGAACCAGTGGCATGTACATCTGCAGAACATGAAGAACCAGTGGCATCTGCATCTGCAGAACATGAAGAACCAGTGGCATCTACATCTGCAGAACATGAAGAACCAGTGGCATCTACATATGCAGAACATGAAGAACCAGTGGCATCTGCATCTGCAGAACGTGAAGAACCAGTAGCATCTACATATGCAGAACACGAAGAACCAGTGGCATCTACATATGCAGAACGCGAAGAACCAGTGGCATCTACATCTGCAGAACATGAAGAACCAGTGGCATGTACATCTGCAGAACATGAAGAACCAGTGGCATCTACATCTGCAGAACATGAAGAACCAGTGGCATCTACATCTGCAGAACATGAAGAACCAGTGGCATCTACATCTACAAAACGTGAAGAACTAGTAGCATCTACATCTGCAGAACATGAAGAACCAGTGGCATCTACATAATGTGAAGAACTAATGGCATCTATATCTGCAGAACGTGAAGAACCAGTAGCATCTACATATGCAGAACATGAAGAACCAGTGTCATCTGCATCTGCAGAACGTGAAGAACCAGTAGCATCTACATATGCAGAACACGAAGAACCAGTGGCATCTACATATGCAGAACGAGAAGAACCAGTGGCATCTACATCTGCAGAACATGAAGAACCAGTGGCATGTACATCTGCAGAACATGAAGAACCAGTGGCATCTACATCTGCAGAACATGAAGAACCAGTGGCATCTACATCTGCAGAACATGAAGAACCAGTGGCATCTACATCTACAGAACGTGAATAACTAGTAGCATCTACATCTGCAGAACATGAAGAACCAGTGGCATCTACATCTACATAACGTGAAGAACTAGTGGCATCTATATCTGCAGAACGTGAAGAACCAGTGGCATCTACATCTGCAGAACGTGAAGAACCAGTGGCATCTACGTCTGCAGAAGATGAAGAACCAGTTGCATCTACATCTACAGACCGTAAAGAACTAGTGGCATCTACATCTGCAGAACGTGAGTAACCAGTGGCATCTACATCTGCAGAACGTGAAAAACCAAAGGCATCTACATCTGCAGAACGTGCAGAACCAGTGGCATTTACATCTGCAGAACATGAAGAACCAGTGTCATTTACATCTGCAGAATGTGAAGAACCAGTGGCATCTGCATCTGCAGAACGTGAAGAACCAGTAGCATATACATATGCAGAACATGAAGAACCAGTGGCATCTAGATATGCAGAGCGTGAAGAACCAGTGGCATCTACATCTGCAGAACATGAAGAACCAGTGGCATGTACATCTGCAGAACATGAAGAACCAGTGGCATCTACATCTGCAGAACATGAAGAACCAGTGGCATCTACATCTGCAGAACATGAAGAACCAGTGGCATCTACATCTACAGAACGTGAAGAACTAGTAGCATCTACATCTGCAGAGCGTGAAGAACCAGTGGCATCTACATCTACATAACGTGAAGAACTAGTGGCATCTATATCTGCAGAGCGTGAAGAACCAGTGGCCTCTACATCTGCAGAACGTGAAGAACCAGTGGCATCTACATCTACAGACCGTAAAGAACGAGTGGCATCTACATCTGCAGAACGTGAATAACCAGTGGCATCTAGATCTGCAGAACGTGAAGAACCAAAGGCATCTACATCTGCAAAACGTGCAGAACCAGTGGCATCTGCATCTGCAGAACATGAAGAACCAGTGGCATGTACATCTGCAGAACATGAAGAACCAGTGGCATCTACATCTGCAAAACATTAAGAACCAGTGGCATCTACATAACGTGAAGAACTAGTGGCATCTATATCTGCAGAACGTGAAGAACCAGTAGCATCTAGATATGCAGAACATGAAGAACCAGTGGCATCTACATCTGCAGAACATGAAGAACCAGTGGCATCTACATCTGCAGAACGTGAAGAACCAGTGGCATTTACGTCTGCAGAACATGAAGAACCAGTGGCATCTACATCTACAGAACGTGAAGAACTAGTAGCATCTACATCTGAAGAACATGAAGAACCAGTGGCATCTACATCTACAGAACGTGAAGAACTAGTGGCATCTATATCTGCAGAACGTGAAGAACCAGTGGCATCTACATCTGCAGAACGTGAAAAACCAGTGGCATCTACGTCTGCAGAAGATGAAGAACCAGTTGCATCTACATCTACAGACCGTAAAGAACTAGTGGCATCTACATCTGCAGAACGTGAGTAACCAGTGGCATCTACATCTGCAGAACGTGCAGAACCAGTGGCATTTACATCTGCAGAACATGAAGAACCAGTGTCATTTACATCTGCAGAATGTGAAGAACCAGTGGCATCTGCATCTGCAGAACGTGAAGAACCAGTAGCATCTACATATGCAGAACATGAAGAACCAGTGGCATCTAGATATGCAGAGCGTGAAGAACCAGTGGCATCTACATCTGCAGAACATGAAGAACCAGTGGCATGTACATCTGCAGAACATGAAGAACCAGTGGCATCTACATCTGCAGAACATGAAGAACCAGTGGCATCTACATCTGCAGAACATGAAGAACCAGTGGCATCTACATCTACAGAACGTGAAGAACTAGTAGCATCTACATCTGCAGAGCGTGAAGAACCAGTGGCATCTACATCTACATAACGTGAAGAACTAGTGGCATCTATATCTGCAGAGCGTGAAGAACCAGTGGCCTCTACATCTGCAGAACGTGAAGAACCAGTGGCATCTACATCTACAGACCGTAAAGAACTAGTGGCATCTACATCTGCAGAACGTGAATAACCAGTGGCATCTAGATCTGCAGAACGTGAAGAACCAACGGCATCTACATCTGCAAAACGTGCAGAACCAGTGGCATCTGCATCTGCAGAACATGAAGAACCAGTGGCATGTACATCTGCAGAACATAAAGAACCAGTGGCATCTACATCTGCAAAACATTAAGAACCAGTGGCATCTACATAACGTGAAGAACTAGTGGCATCTATATCTGCAGAACGTGAAGAACCAGTAGCATCTAGATATGCAGAACATGAAGAACCAGTGGCATCTACATCTGCAGAACATGAAGAACCAGTGGCATCTACATCTGCAGAACGTGAAGAACCAGTGGCATTTACGTCTGCAGAACATGAAGAACCAGTGGCATCTACATCTGCAGAACACGAAGAACCAGTGGCATCTACATCTACAGAACGTGAAGAACCAGTGGCATCTACATCTGCAGAACGTGAAGAACAGTGGCATCTACATTTGCAGAACATGAATAACCAGTGGCATCTACATCTGCAGAGCGTGAAGAACCAATGCCATCTACATCTACAAAACATGAAGAACCAGTGGCATCTACATCTGCAGAACGTGTAAAACCAGCGCGCTAACCGCTACCTCACCACTCCCCCCTTACTCCCTCAATACCAACAGGCGACATTCGCCACTAAGTGATGGTGATGTCATCAATGTGCCTATGCCAGGCTAGGTGCACTTCTAAGCCATGTGAAGTGTTGAAGCCTCGCTGCTGGCAGGTCATGCAACAGACCCAGGCGGTGCCATGGGTTGAGTGACTGAAATGACGCCTTGCGGATGTGATACCTGATGTACCCCCCCCCCGTGTCTCACCCCCCCCCCCCCCCGTGGCTCACACTCCCCCCACACACAGAGCCACCATGAATCCCGGCCACCACCATCGCACGCCACGTCTGCTGCCACTGCTCCTCCTGCTGCTTTTGGTGCTCCTCCTGTCTCTGCTGTGCGGGGCTCAGCGGACCCCTCGCCCGCGGACCGGTCCCGCCAAGAAAGCCCAACAGCAGCAGCAGAAACAACAGCAGCAGAAGCAGCAGCAGCAGAAGCAGCAGCAAGAACAGCAGCAGAAGCAGCAGCAGCAAGCAGAGGAGGAGGAGGACGTGGGAGCGGGCCCTCTGCTCTACTTTGGGCCGCAGTTCTACTCGGACTGCCCCCGCGAGTGTTTCTGCTCGCCAGACTTCTCGACGGCACTGAACTGCGAGAGCCGGAGGCTGAGCGCCGTGCCCGGCCTCCCGAACCGCACGCAGCACCTCTACCTGCAGCACAACCGCATCTCGGCGGTACCCCTCGAGCCTTTCCAGAACGCCAGCGAACTGCGGTGGCTCAACCTGAACCGCAACAAGATCGCCAGCAACAAGGTGGCCAAGAACGTCTTCTCCAAGATGAAGAACCTGCTGCACCTCTACATGGAACACAACGACCTGAAGGAGCTGCCCTTCCCGCTCCCCAGCAGCCTGCAGCAGCTAAAGCTTGCGCACAACCGCATCGCGCGGCTGCCGGGTGCCGCCTTCAACAAGCTCCCGAACCTCCTCCTTCTCGACCTGAGCTCCAACCAGATCCAGGACGGCGCCCTCTCGGGCGAGATCTTCCGCGGCCTGAAGGGTCTCATCCAGCTGAACCTCTACAAGAACAAGATCACCAAGATGCCACCGCAGCTGCCCCGGGGACTCTACCAGCTCTTCCTGGAAAGGAACTCCATCGCCGAGATCCCCGAGAGCTACTTCGACACACTCGATCACATCTTCTCCATCCGCCTCACCTTTAACAAGCTCACCGACTCGGGCCTGCCTAGGAGCATCTTCAACATCTCCACGCTGCTCGAGCTCTCGCTGGGACACAACGGGCTGACGCGCGTGCCCCTCTTCACCCCGCGCCTCGAGCACCTCCACCTCGACCACAACCACATCAAAGGTGCGCTGGGCAGGTGGTGGATGACAGAGATGGAAGGTGGTGGTTGTGGATTAGGGATGTGCAGGCGAAGACGGTGAATGAGCAGGTGGCGATAGTATTGGAATTGATGGTTGATAAAACATTTTAAGGATTGGTGGTTAAGATAGTGGTGGTGGTGGATGAGTAGATGTGGGGAGACAGCGCAGTGGTTAGCTCACTGCACTTTGAACCCGGCGACCTGAGTTCGATTCCCGCTCACGACTAGCATCGGTGATGAATATCTGCATCGGTCCTGGGCCTCCCCTAGGTTGACTCAGCCTCAAACGAGTACCTGGTACGGTAAACATCGCCACTGAGGAGACAAAGGCGGCCGTGCGTAGTGATGGCCACCCACCCCCTCGTGTGCCGTGCCGGCCTCTATAGGTGTTCACAAACAGAACTTGCCCCAACAATCTGTTAAGGCTATACGGGGGGATCTTTGTATTTGCAGGTAGTGATGGTGGTGGTAATGGTGCAGGTGGTGAATTTGGGATGTAGAGAGGAAGGTGGTGACTGAGGAGGTGGGGATGGTATTGAAATATGGTAATGGGGATGGAGGAGCAGATGGTGGTGGTAGTGGTGCAGCATTAACAGATGGTAGAATTGGTGGATGCCCATGTGGTGATGGTCATGATGGAGGTGTTGGTGGAAGATATGGTGTTAACGTTGGATGCGATGTGAATGATGGTGTGGTGTGGTGTAACCCATGCTGTGGTGTGACTTATCCCGCGGTGTGGTGTAACCCGTGCTGCGGTGCGGCGTGACCTGTGCTATACACTGTGGACCTGTGAGGAGCGATGGCGCGGTGGTCACCCGGTTCGATTACCCGCCCATGGCTAACATCCATCTGTGACGATAAATCCCGAATCGTCAAAACTCGCCCCTTCCATGAGTAGTGTTTGATGCGGTGGGTAAACATCAGCACTGGGGCGGGGGAGACAAAGGCGACCGGTCGTGGTGGCGGCCCCGGCCTCGATCAGTGCTGCTCGACAGAGCCGTCCCTAGAGCACGCGGCGAATCAGGGCGATCGCCCCGGGCCCCGTGCATTACGTGGGGGGGGGGGGGGGGGGGCTCGCGCTTCGAGGTCACGGCGTCAAGAGCAAAAACTTCTGGCTTAGTTTGAAGCCGTTTGGTGGCTGTGGCACGCGGTGCGATGTTCCTGCAGCCCTGCCAATGGGGCGGCCCCTGTCACCCACAGCCCCTCGCCCCCTGCGTCCTATTGGGAGGCTACCGGTCGCGGTCGGGTTGACTTTTGCGTTCCGTGTTTGTGGTTTATTTTAGCACGTAGGCTTTCGCGACCAATATCATCCATAAGAGGTTTTTTGGGGTTAGATAAGACGTTTTTTGGGTTAGATCGTGTAAATATATAAATGTGTCGTTAAAACCCACCACCACCCGACACAGCCAACTAGTAAGGGTTGTCACGTAAACAGAACGTGCCAATTCGTCACTAGCCAAGCCACAACATTTACAATCTGAGTACGACGTTTCGCCAGTAATTACAACTAGCTTCATCAGGCGACAGCCAGATTTGTGGAGAAGTCCACCTGTTTCGTTCCTTATATAAAGGTGTAGATGTGGTGACCCCACTTCTGCGCTCTTGCGAAAAGTGGGGGGGGGGGGAGGCGATTAATGAGTCAACCCTACATTATGCATGCGCATTATGCGAGCCCTTTGATCTTGTCCTTCCACGTCCATTGTGTGTATTAAAAAATATGCATTACCGAAACTATCAACAGAAGGTGTCTACAGGATTAACTGCACTTGTGGCAAATGTTATGTTGGGCAAACAGGACGAATGATCAGCACGAGACTAAAAGAACATCAGAGAAATCTTAAATTCTCCCGAATACAACTGTCAGCAGTAGCAGAACACGCGTGCCAACAAGGTTTGATTTTTATGTTGAAGTTTTGTGCAAAACTAGCTACTACTGGCCAAGACTAATTAGATAATCTATCGAAATTTAAATAAAGAAAAATAATTTAACCGTTCAGATAGCTACCGACTGAGTGCTGCGTGGAAGCGAATAATCAAATAATACATTATTTAAATGGATGCCTATACAGGCCACCATACTTCAATAGGGATTATCGTTGGTAGAAATATTTTAATACACACAATGAACAGGAAGGATAAGTTCAAAGGGCTCGCAAAATGCGTATGCTTAATGGACGTTGACTCATTAATCGCCTCTCCCCCACTTTTCTCAAGAGCGCAGAAGCGCGGTCACCACCTCTACACCTTTATATAAGGAACGACACAGGTGGACTTCTCCACAAATCTGGCTGTCGCCTGTTGAAGCTAGTTGTAATTACTGGCGAAACGTCGTACTCAGATTGTAAATGTTGTGGCTTGGCTCTCCAATACACCGGCGTGCTGTACTAGTGACGAATTGGCATGTTCTGTTTACGTGACAACCCTTACTAGTTGGCTGTTTTGGGTGGTGGCGGGTTTTAACGACACATTTATATATTTATGCGATCTAACCCAAACAACCTCTATTATGGATTTGTGGTTTATGTTTGTGGTGGTTGGGTGTTTGTGGTCTGTGCCCACCGCGTGATGCCCGCGTGCCATGGCCGCCCGCAGCGTGGAACGTGTCCGAGGTGTGTGACGTTCGCAACCCGATCCCGGCGGCGGGGCCCGCGCGCCTCCGCTACCTGCGCCTCGACGACAACGAGCTGAGGGCCCTGAGCACCACCGAGATCATCATCTGCTTCCCGCTCCTCCACGCCTTCATGATCTGACGAGGTGACGCGAGCTCACCGCCACCATTAATATCGTCATCACAAATCAAGGTCGTCGTCATCCTCATCATCGTGAACATAATGATGATCACCCATATCATCATCACGAATCAAGATCATCATCATGATCGTCGCAATGGTTATAGCGAGATGACCACCGATATAATCTGAGTGATTTAAAGAGGACAGCTTGTCACGAGGTTATTGATCATCATCATCACCAGGCCACCATCACTCTGAGAGTTCGTCACCACCATCACCACGAGGTCGTCGTCTTCTCCTTCTTCATCACCACCACCACCAACATCACGGGGAGGTATCGCAAAACTAACGCCTCTCGTTTCTCCTCAATTGGCTCCCCCCCATCGCCTCCGTATGAGTTGTTCGGCTTACAGAGGGGTAAGAGGTGCAGCCCAGCAGCTGCTTTGGCCTCCCCCCTTCCATGCTGTGGTTCTCCACGTCTCGGCGTGAGACCCCCCCCCCCCCCCACAAAAGAAAAATCCCACACCTCCGATTAGCACGGTCGGCTATGTACGGTGGCAAAGAAGTTCAACGTACATCAACATACGTGCGTCTGTGGCCAACACCGTCTGCGCGTGTGGCATTGAGAGAACAAAATGTAGAAATATAATGGGCAACGTTTCGGGCAATGGGCCCCCCCGCCCCTTCTTCACAGCGCGTGGATAGAGTGGATGAGTTGGAGACTTGTTTACACCACGCGGAGGTGGTGGGGGGCAGGGCTGATAACAATCATATTCGAGACGTCTTTACTGACGATGAGCGGTTTGTAAATTGGACATAGGAAGAGTTACGCGAATAGAGTAATAGTTAGAGTAATCGTTATAATGATAGCAATAATAGGAATAGTTAGAGGCATAAAATAGAGTCATAGTTACGCAAATAGAGTGGCTATTGAGTAGCAAACACCTTGAATAATCAGAAACCTATTAAAACCAAATACACTCATTCATGCTAAAAGTGTATGTGCTATGAAGGGCTGCTGCTCGAAACGTCGTCTATTCTATTTCCCCCCATTTAAGACGACGCACGCACGGGGTCTAATGACGAAAGCGATGGTTGTTAATCTCACGATGATTGAGATACTGGCGACCCAGATGTGGTGATATCATGACAATGTTCATAATGGTGATAGTGTAATACGATGGAGATTATGTAAATCATGACGGATGATCATGGCGATCATGATTATAAACATGGCGATCATCATGATTGTAATCATGGCGATCATGATTGTAAACGTGGCGATCATGATTGTAATCATGGCGATCATCATGATTGTAATCATGGCGATCATCATATCATGATTGTAATCATGGCTATCATCATGATTGTAATCATGGCGATCATGATTGTAATCATTGCGATCATGATTGTAACCGTGGCGATCATCATGATTGTAACCGTGGCCGATGCGCTATAATGGGCCACTGCCCGAAACGTTGCCCATTATATATTTCCCCTCCTGAAGACCCCCACACGCACACGGCGGTGGTGGTGTTGACACGGAACGCGCCGAGTCGTTGTTGGCTGTCCTTGTGCACCACTGCCAATAATCACAAGGTCAACATCATCACAGTCGTCAACATCATCATTACCGTAATCACCACCACCACCACCATCATCATCTCGCTGTCTCGCCTGTCCCTGTGTCGACTGTCCTGACCTCAGGTCGCCTCTTAAAAACTCTTCAACGGTTCGAATCCAAATTTGAATGTCACCAGAATCATTCTCATCCTCCTGCTCGTCCCATCGCCATTGCAACCACTCCACCCTTCGTCCCGACCATAACCCAAACCACTACTCGTTACGCACGCCCACGGTCCCGTGTGTTACCACCTCTCCGTTGAATTGATTTGAACTTTGTTTAAATGTGTGTAACGGCTTTCCTACGCACACGTGGCGACGACGTTTACACGCCACGCGGGTGAGGATGGCTCTCCTCGATCTCTCTTTGTCCATCTCTGTATCTCTATCAATTTATATCTCTGCATATCTCTCTCTCGCATAACCTCCCCCCCCCAGGCCCGCCGCATGAGCGTGCGAGGCGTCGTCTTCGTCGGTGCGCTCGTTTATCTCGGTGCTTGATTATTTGTTTACTAAGTTTTAGCGCAGGGGTGGGGGAAGCCAAACCGTGACGTCACCTCACACGACCCGTGACGTCACCTCACACGACCCGTGACGTCACCTCACACGACCCGTGACGTCACCTCACACGACCCGTGACGTCACCTCACACGACCCGTGACGTCACCTCACACGACCCGTGACGTCACCTCACACGACCCGTGACGTCACCTCACACGACCCGTGACTTCCACATGTTCCACAGCCGCTGAAGGGCCCACCACTTTGATATTTATCTATCGCCGCAAGTCGCAACTTTTCCGCGCTCACCGGGATCGAGAGGGGGAATAATTTCCACCTCAAATTCTGGTGTCGTGCCCGGCCACGTCGCCCATCACTGCAAGGGGCCTCCTCCTCCTCGCAACTCCTCGGGGGTGGACGCGCACGCTTCACCCTGTGACCGTCTGGCCAACGGGCAAGAGGCACGGAGGCCGGGCGACACTTGAGCCATGGCCAGACGTCCACGCTTGCGCAGCCACCACGAAGCGGTTTGCAGGAAAGGGCCCCTCAAGCCCCACCCCTGGTTTAGGTAAAGAGCTGTCGCCGCGTCGGTTTGGGCACGCCCAGGCCACCCTCTCGTATGGTGCTTTACAAAATAAAACGTATCGGAAATCAACGACCCCGCGCTGTCCTTTGCACGCGAGCGACGGCACGTGCCCGACGTTTTGGTCACGCCGCCGGGGGCCTGGCGATTGACGACGACTGGCGTCTACCCCTCGTGCGGCGGGGAAGAGTTTCTGCACGAGGCGTCGTGGGCACGCGGTGGGCCTGAGCCGGCTCGCGGAGTGAGAGTCGCTTCCTGCTCCCCCAAGTTAGCGTCGTGAGGCCACAGAGCGGGCAGTGGAACGCCACCTTCCAGTGGTGGGGGTAAATAACTGGTGGGGGTAAATGACTCCAAAAGGTCGTCCACTGTTGATCTTCGCCACCAAATTAGAAGGGGGGGATGATGGGCAGAGTCAACCCCCCCCCCCGTGCAAGCTGTGTGTGTGGGGGGGGGGGGTCTTGTGTGTGAGCGTGCGCCTGCGCCCTGAGCCACCGAGCCATTGGATTTCTGGCTAACAGCGGTGGCGTGGAGGAGGTCGTCTTCGCCGCACACGAGCACAGTACCTGGGCACGATGCGCGAACATCAGCACGCGGAAAGCCCGAAGGCTTCTGGGCATATTGTGGTGGCCACACCACCACCCTTCACAGGTGTGCCGTGCCGGCCTTCACAGGTGTCCCGTTCCGGCCTTCACAGGTGTGCCGTTCCGGCCTTCACAGGTGTGCCGTTCCGGCCTTCACAGGTGTGCCGTTCCGGCCTTCACAGGTGTGCCGTGCCGGCCTTCACAGGTGTGCCGTGCCGGCCTTCACAGGTGTGCCGTGCCGGCCTTCACAGGAGTGCTGTGCCGGCCTTTACAGGTGTGCCGTGGCGGCCTTCACAGGTGTCCCGTTCCGGCCTTCACAGGTGTGCTATTACGGCGTTCACAAGTGTACTGGTCCGGCCTTCACAGGTGTGCCGTGCCGGTCTTCACAGGTGTGCCGTTACGGCCTTCACAGGTGTGCCGTGTCGGCCTTCACGTGCTGCTCGCTCTCCGCGCTTGCTCCAACAAGCCCATTCAAGGCTACAGAGGGGCGGGGGATCTTTGTCTTGTTAGGGCTCGATGGTATCTTGTTAATGAGGTGCACGAGAACAAGGGAGCTTTGTACAACCCGCCCGGAGCGATATCGAAGGTGAACAATGCCCCCCAATGCACCTGCAGCCTCCCCCATGCCATCCTTGCCGCACGCATGGCTGGAAAAGGCATTCGCCAAACCCCCATTGACCAGCATGGGTGAGGCAGTCAAACAACCCTCATGATTGACATGTCTTGAGGAGGCCTTCATCCAATAATTGCCACATGGCTGGAGTAGCAATTGAATGTAACAGATGAGACGGTCCGACGGTGTTTCTGGCTATTATGAGATAAAGAAAAAAATCGTGAAAATGCATTCACCTTGGGAAGCGGTCTTAAGGCCATTTTTCAGGAGAATGCTGCTGCCGCTGCTGCTGCCACATTGCGTTGTTTGGCCGTGAATTCCCCGAGCGGTGAGAGTTTGGCTTTGCGTGGGGAGGAAGCTCGGAGGACACGGAAAAAAACCCCACCAAGCGCACGAAAGACTCCGCACAGACGGATTCAAGAATCTGGCGCATCTCCTGCTCACCTCATAGTCCCAACACCCCACAACCATGCACACTGCTGCACCAAGCAGCAGGGAAACATCATCCCGGATGCAAGCAGCCCGATCTTCACGGGTGAAGCTCTCCATACGGAGCAGGGCTGCGTGTGAAACCCACAGCGCTGTATTTATTATTGTTATTACTACAATACCATCGCGATTATTTAAATACATAGGCAGCTGAAACACAACAAGCACAAATTGCCACCCCTTCACCCACCGCAGTCACTTATATATACACACATGTACACTGCCCTGTCCCACTGGCACATCCGGGCCACGCTGACGCGGGGTGATGATGCGCTGCTGCTGCTGGACTCACGAGGTGTCCCAATCTGACTCGGGGCCAAGCAGGGCCAGGGGCAGGGAAAATGACCGGTTCACGTACGTGACGTCGGTCGGTACGCAGGTGGGGTTCACGCAGCATCACCGTGTCACGCCACCCGCGTTTCCGCTCGTTCACTGCACGCGCGTGACGTTAGTCGGCATGGCTCGGCTTCCACAGTGGAAAAATAAACCGACCAGGCGCCCCCCGACGCGGCCCGGCTTGCCGTCTCCCCGTCTCCCCTAGACCGTCACCCCGTAGGCGTCACCCCGAGGCCATCTCCCCCGCCCCACGGGGCATTGCGCGCCACGACGGTCCTCGGGAGGGGGCCCGCAGTGGGACTAATAAATAACATTGCACATCTCGGCTGAAACGCGGGCGAGGCCGAGGCCTGTCTTTTGCGTGGCCCACCAACCTCCACACCTGGTGGCTCGGCAAGGCAGGGGGATGCGGTGGAGCGCCAACGAGTGGTTCGAATCGTGGCGAGCGTCATCTGGAGGTGACCAACGTCACGCCGCCTCCTTCACACTCGCGTCCCTGTTTAGTTTATCCCATCCCAATCAGCCAAACGGCCGTCTCCGGATGAGGTTCGACATTAAGGGGGGGGGTGGGGGTTCTCTGAGACACTAAAACCGGTCGAGAGGTTTTCTCTTGTTGAACCAATGCAGCGGAAATTATGGACTCACCGACAGCAGAACATACAGTTCAGAACATGCAGCACAGAACACACAGTACAGAATGTGTGGTACAGAACACACAGTACAGAACGTGCGGTACAGAACACAGGAAAAAACGTGCTCACATTGGGAAGAACGGAAAGTTCAACAAAAGGGGCTAGGAATGCCACCTCGACTGGCTCAACGAGCCAGGCCATGTGCGGGCAGGAAGAACCCCTCGCGTTGCCACAGCGGGGTGAGCTGCCCGCGTCCCAAGTGACCTGGACGGGTGGCAACGACCAGCGGACACACGCGGGGACGAGTTCCGGGCGAAGAGAGGCGCGGCATGCGGGGCGAACACACGGCGTGGACAAGGACAGAGCGCGCGGGGAGCGACGCTTGCGGGAACCGGAGGCACGGCAGTGGGAGCGATGGAAGAGTGAATGCGATCGAGTGAAAGAATGGTGAGTGAGTGGCCGAGCGGGTAGGTAGGTAAGTGAGCACATGAGTGGGTATGTGAGAGAGAACTCGTGGGTGAGTAGACACAAGAGTGATGAGGTAAGGGGGTGAGTGAGCGGGTGAGAGTGGGTAGGTGAACGAGTGGGTGATTGTGTGAGTTGTGACCTGCAGTGTGGTGGTGGTGGTAGTGGTGGTTGAACAAAGTGCGGCGGTGGTTGTTGAACACAGTGCGGTGACGATGGTGGTGGAGAGGTGCCCCGATACACTGATGGCATCTCAGAGCGCTTAACATCAACGCATTGCAACACAGGCGGGGTTAGGGGGGTGCTGGATCGCCAAGTGTTCCGTCCAAGGGCATCCCCCAGTGGCAGCTGTCTCCATGTGCGGCATAAGTGTGCTGCCACTTGGGGCACGGAGTGATCACGGTGGACACTGCCAACGGTGGACACTGCCCATGGCGAACACTAACCAGGGTGGACACTAACCAGGATGGACGCCGCCCTTGGTGGACATTGGCAGCAGTTTCCACCGTCGCAGTACAGAGCGACGAACCAAACGAGCGATCGCGCGACCCGCTGGGACGGGGTGGGGGGGGTCTCTTTCCGCTAGCGCCGCAGGCGTCGCCACCATCGCCGCCATTACTCTGGCGGCGTCGGGGGCCAGCGGAGGAGGCCGGTGAGGGCCCCGCGTGAACGCCAGGCCGCGGCCAGCACGGCGACCAGCACGGCGGTGGCGGCGACGCGGGCGCGCGTGCGCAGCAGCGGCGTCAGGAAGCCGGCGGCCGTGGAGACGAAGACGAGCAGCACGGCGACGAGCGCCAGCAGCACGTTGATGAGCTTGCCCAGCAGCGCCCGCGCGTCGCCTGCACAACCCTCCAGCCCCTCCAGCTGCACCACTTGCTGCTGCTGTTGCTGCAGCTCCAGCTTGGAAACGCGCGTCTGGCAAGACTCGAGGGCCTCCTGCACGCACGCGCGGGCGGGCGGGTGGATGAGCGGTTCAGTGAGCGAGTGGGCGGCTCGGTCGGTGGTTGGGTGGTGCAGGATGGTAACGCTGCGGTGGCTGTGAAATATGCCATCAGGGGAAGGCCAATTCCATCGGCTGATCCCCTCATGGTGCTTGCAGCCACCACAGCGGCCAACGGGAGCTCTGGAAGGGTGCGAGGGGGTGGTAACACCTCCACCTTCAATTCAATTTCGACAAAACCACAATATAAATATCTAATTAAGCTTGTTCCGGAGGCCCTGGGGGGACAGGCCACGACGTCTCCTGGCCAAACCCCATTTGGGGCAGCCAGGTTCTTCCATAAACGTAAAATGTCCGAATGCTCACTGCGAAGGAGAGGCTGCCACTCCTCTGTCAGGAGCTGGACCAGTACCACCTGGATCTCTGTGATATTCAGGAGGTCCGGTTGACTAGCCCTGGCTCCAGTCACCATGAGGGGTGGACAGTCCTTGACTCCGGGCAGACTGCCAAACAACAAAGGAATAGAGGGGGAATGGGAGCATGGTGGTGAGGTGTGGGAAGCTCTAAGCCCCAGGCTACTGTGGGCTTGTCTCCCCATCAACGCAATGCGAGGAATGGTGGAGGTGTTGGTGGCATTTGCCCCCACCGAAAATGAACATCAGTGGAGGGATGCAGGCAAGGCCGATGAGTCAGATGCCATCTATGACCTCCTGTCCCAGGTGATAGCGAAAGTGGCCCCTCGGGAAAGAGTCATCCTGTAGGGTTATTTTAATGCTTGAGTTGGTCATGATGCTGGCACCTGGACTGGAGTGATTGGAAGGCATGGGCCAGATCAGCTCAATAACAACGATAGGAGGCTGCTACACTTCTGTGGAGCCCATAGGCTTGTAATTACCAACACTGTTTTGGCATCGGCGCATCCACACAACATCATGGATGCATGCCGGGTCCAAGCAAAAACATCTGCTGGACTATATAGTGATGGAACAACTGATGCGGGCCCATATCCTTGACAC